CCTCAGAACTAAAAACTGTTGGGCATGGATGCTTAAATATATGCGTCTATTTGTTAGCACAGGCTGTAGGAAAGTATAGTTTTTGTTTATTTAGAAAATATGGATGTTATGGTTGTTTATTTTCCTTTTAGAACAGTGTAGATTGGCCCTGAGGTTGTAGCACCGATCACCCCCTCTGTGTTCATTGGTTATTGCCTGGCCCCCCTTATTAAAATCTTCTGGCTACGCCTCTGTTGTTTCTGTGAATGGAGCCTGGGTAGCGCCATTCAGCAGCAGCAGCCTGGCGCTGTCCGCGGTGCTGAACACAGCTGTGGGCAAATCAAACAAGCCCAGAGGAGACGGGCAGCCTCGCTGATGTGCAAACACACATAAAAACGACTTCCGGCACATTAACCAGGGAAACCACCTCTTGACTTTAATGAAACTGCACTCGATGTGGAGTAGAGCGGCCGCGGTGAACACCTGTCGGACTGCGACAACACACACAGGGCTCAGAGTAGATGTTTGCACAAGCTATTAGCTTTATTGTAAAGGCGATGTTCTATATAGGCAGAGGCAGCTCTTATCGCGCAAATCGATGGCAGCTTATGCGCAAAAAAAAAAAAAAAAAGGGGGGGAGTCACTAACGGGGCCTCGATCTGCACATTAGCATGGGGGCCTATATGCAATCAAGAGATGAATGAGAGCGGGAGTCTCCTTGGATCTGACATCCGTCTCCATGGCGACAGGAGCAGGAGGACCAAAACTGGCATCTATCCGGGCCCAAATCAACAGATGGCCACCCCATCGCCCCCCCTCCCTCCACCTACCTTGCACTGCTCCATGCACGTCCTCACCGAATAAGCCCCTGGCTCGTATTTCTGAGTCAGGAGCTCAAAGTCCTCGTATTTCTCCTGGGCGTGCTGGTCGTAGCGCTGGTACGCCTGGACGCACTCGCTGCATCGCGTCGCGTCGCCCTCCTCCAGCGCCTGGACGCTGCAGTTCAGGTTGTCCGGGCTCACCGAGCCCTCGAACAGATCCAGCAGGGAGTAGGAGTTACAAAAGGACAGGAACAAGTCGCTCATGTTAGCGACCCGCGGCCCCTGTTGGTCGGAGAGGCCCCGGCACAGGTCGTCCGCATCCGCGAAGGCGAAGCAGTCGCCGGACGAACTGTCCCGGTGGCGAGTTTCGAGGCGCCACAGATGTTTGGTGGAGTTTCCTAGAAAAATAGCGTGGGGGTTCTCTGTGAGGCTAATGTGCGCCGAGTGGGTGTGGGGGGAGTGGAGGTGGGAGGACGCGAACTTGTCCGGGGTTCGGGCCAGCCTGGCCTCGGCGCAGAACCACAGACGATCAGAGAGGAGGACGGTGAGGAACAGGAGAGATGCCAAGGACAGTCGCCATCTCTGCGCCCTCTCGGAGTCGGTGAATGGCTTTTGGTGGTCGCGGGGGGGCTCTAGCCAGATTTGGAAGCCGTCGTCGTCTTCTTGCTGCCAACACGTCCCAGCACCCCTGGTCATATTTTGGGAACCGGCCGACTCCACCGTGGGGGCTCCTCTGCCGCAACAGTCATGGACGTCGGGAGCCGATCGCGTTTTCCTCCCCTCAAGAGTCGGTTCGTGGGTTGTCCCGGCTTTCCGTGGCGATCAGCGGTAATTCCCATCCAAAGGAGCGTGGGCCGGGTGGGAAATCAGACTCCTGCGACCGCGGGCCGCATCCTCCATGGCTGTCCTCCTGCCGTCCGCCCCGAGCTGCCGCGCGGCGCCGCTCCTCTGCGTAGCCGCGACTCCGCTTTTAGAAACACTCACCGACGCGCTTACGTCTTCCCCGGCCTCGGTCGTGCGCGGACAAGGGCGCTATCGTCTTCCAACATGGCGAAGGACTGTTGCCTTTTTGTGTCGGCGGATGGGGCCTAGCTCCCACCTGCTACAGACGCCTTTTCTCTCTCTCCTTTTTCAAGCCCTCGCCGCCTTCATCAAGTTGCCGCCATGTCCGCCAAGAGACGGTGTGTTTGCAGCAGCCTGCGTCAAGTCCGCAAAGAAACGTGGCATTGCTTCCGGTTGAAAACTTCAAAATAAGATCTCACAAGTCAACTGTGACTTTTTTTCCCCCTACTCTATAAATGAGTGTTTATACACCCTTTAGAGTCATTCCCTTCTACTAACACTAAAATACTGTTTTAAAAAATATATATTATTAACTTCAGTTCTCAGCATTTTTATTCAGCATTCATATATTGCTTTTGACCCCTTATATATCAGCTTTATTGTTAAAGTCTCAACAAGTTTATTCTTCACTGTATGTTAATTAGGAGTGAAGGTTGGAGCTATTAGGTTTCAAAAATGCAATAACTATTTAGATTTTTCATCACATACATTATGTTTTTAAAAGCATGATGCTGGATATAATCTAAATGAAGACCTGGCATGACGAACATAAAAAGAGTAATTGTGCATGAAAACAAAATGCTAAAATACCTGATTTAAAATAACTGTTCTGATATGTCGATATACTTCCTCAGGAAGTGCTGGAAATTTCAGTGCATTGGCAAAGACAAGGATTTTAAGACATTTAGACAACAAAAATATATATGTATGATATAAATCAGGGGTCTTCAATGTTTTCAAGGACCCCCAAACTGATGGCGAGATGGAGCGGGGACCCTAATTATGTATATTGTATGAAATTGTGTTATATCAAACTGGTCCTATAGTCACTCTATTACAGATGGAGTAATGTAACGAAAGTAATTTTTCCCTGGGATTATTAAAGTATTTCTGATTCTGATTCCTGGTTGGTGGGACAGGTGTTGTGAATGAAACGGTGCCCAGCTTAAAGAGCTCCTGTGTGTCGCTGAATGTGTGCATTGATGACTGCCAGACATCTTCTGCCTTCATTTATCTGTTTACTACAGTCTGTTGAAATCATGTTAATGTGGATTTAAACACATTTCATTTAGTGGAAAAAAATTGCAGAGAGGAATAGAAAAAAAAAAGTCTACCGTAATCAACCAAAATTTTCATGACCCCGATGCAGTACCTCTGTGGACCCTCTAGGGGTCACGGACCCCCTGTTGAAGACCTCCATTAGAAAGGATGATGAGCATTAAAACCCTGTGTACAATCATTTAAATATAGGCAAAAATACAATACTGCATCTCTTCACCTAGTAGATAGAAAATATTTCAACATAAAAATGCCTAATAAATGCATTCAATTAAAACTTATTATGTATTTTTGCCAGATTATTATTGAATTTTATCCTAATAACATAAAATATATACTTTTTTTGTATTTTAATGTTTTATGAACCATTAAAAAAATAAAAAGAAATACAATACATACATACACACACACACACACACACACACACAC